CCCCCCCCCCTCCTTGCAAAAATTTTCTGCTTGAAACCGGTCCCTGGTACAAAAAAGGTTGGGGACCACTGCTTTAGAAGGTGAAGGATTCTCACCGTTTCTAACTTTTAATCATACTTTTGATTTTCCCCTGGCATTTTCTCCCAGGCTCCAGCAAAGGAGAGTGAAACCCCCCTTGCTTCATCAATCTTGTCATCTTTTGTCTTTCTGGCTAAATGTTATTGATTTTATTGTAATAGTTGGGAACTGTCTGGAGGCATTGAAAGTCAGAGAGCATACAGTTGTTTTATTGTTATTATTTTACTCAACTCCTGGCATGCTGCTGTGTTTTCAAACTCATCCGAATTCAGATGGATTGCATATATTTTGTTAGCCTTAACTATTCTTTGATTCATTCAGCTCAGCATCCTTTGTAATCACTAGAAAATATTACTTGCTGGCCAAGCCTGTGAAAAGATTGCCCTGGGTTTCTCTACATCCAAAGCAGCCTTCCAGAAGGAGGAATGAAAAAAAGGACTTAATAAAAATTCATTTAATGAAGAGAAGGACTAGGGGGTGACACTAGGAGCAATGTTCCAGTATTTGAGGGGCTGCCCCAAAGAAGAGGGAGTCAAGCTTTTATCCAAAGCTCCTGAAGGCAGGACAAGAAACAAGGGATGGAAACTAATCAAGGAGAGAAGCAACCTGGAATTAAGGAGGAATTTCTTAACAGTGAGGACAATTAACCAGTGGAACAGCTTGCCACCAGAAGTTGTGGGCCCTTCATCACTGGAGGTTTTTTAAGAAGAGACTGGACAAAGATTTGTCAAGAACAGTACAGGATCTCCTCCTTTAACAGGGTTGGACTAGAAAACCTCTAAGGTCCCTTTCAACGCTGTTACGCTATTATTCTGAATACCGATTCACTAAATGACCGTCTTCCTCTGTTCTGGAAATTCTGTCCATATTTTTGAATTCAAAGCATTAATAGCCACTAAAAAGCATTAATAGCCACTTTGAATTCAAAGCATTAATAGCCAAAGATGATGGACAGGCAAAATCTTGAGGCCTAAATCTAATTAATAGGTTGGAGAGAGAGTCATTTTGGATGTTAATTACAAGCCAGCTCTTCTGAGAGGCTCAGCTGGTAATTAAAAGATGTGAGGGCTCCCCTCTGTTAGCTATAAATGCCAGCAAAATTTCTAAGCATGGTGTGATCTAAGCCAGAATGCAGATGAATGAAATATCTTTTTTATTTGTGCATAAGCAAGGAAAGGCCCCCAGAGATACAAAGTTCCATCCCCATCTCTCTTTAGAACCGAACCAGAGTGGGATTCTGCAGAGGAAGTGGACAGTGATGGTTTGATGAAACCTTTTTTTCTCCTTTCCTTGCAGACGCTGACCGGGAAAGAGATAGAGATAGACATCGAACCGACGGACAAGGTATCAACCCTCAAAGGAATGGGGTGGGTTTTAATCTTGCTTGACTACCCTTGCTACGTGTCCTACTTTGCCTTCAAATGCAATTCACCCACAAAGCCATGTTTGTTAGAGAGAGGAAGGGCTGTATTTGAGGCTTCTGCGCAAAGTAGGGGGAACTCCTCCACCACGGCCCCACCCTTTCTTTCTACAAACTTTATAAAGCCTTAGTAAGGCCGCATCTGGAATCCTGCATCCAGTTTTGGTCATCAGGTTACAAAAAAAAACGTTGAGACTTTGGAAAAAGTGCAAAGAAGAGGAACTAATATGATTAAAGGGCTGGATAATTTAAATGAGGATAATCTAATGTACTCTAAGCAGGGCATGTAAATTGAATGCTTCTGGGGTGATTACTGGAGACTAAAACAGAACAAACGGTTGCAGGAACTGGGCTTGGCTAGTCTAGAGAAAAGAAGGACTGCGGGGGGAAACGGACATAAGAGCAGTCTTCCAACATTTGAGGGGCTGTGTGGATTTCAACTCCCAGAATTCCCTAGCCAGCTATAGTCCTCGCCTTACAATCGGACATTCAGTGACCATTCAAAGTTACAACGACGCTGAAAAAAGTGACATTTTTTTAACACGTAGGGCTGTTCCAGCCTCCCCGTGGTCACATGATCAGTTTTGGGACGCTTGGCAAGGCATAGAATCAAAATAATAATGCCCCTTTATAAAGCCTTAGTAAGGCCAGACCTGGAATAGTGCATCCAATTTTGGTCACCACATTTCAAAAAATATGTTTTCAGCCTTTGGGGGGGGAAATGCAGAGAAGAGCAATTAAGAGGATTAAAGGCCTGGAGGCTAAAACCTATGAAGAAAGGTTGCAGGAATTGGGGGTGGCCAGTCTAGAAAAAAGGAGGACTGGGGGGATGTGACAGCAGTCTTCCAGTATTTGAGGGTCTGCCACAAAAAGGATGTCCACCCATTCTCCAAAGCACATGAAGACAAGAAACAAGGAATGAAAACTAACCAAGGAGAGAAGCAACCTGAAGTTAAGGAGAGACTTCCTAACAGTGAGTACAATTAACCAGTGGAACAGCTTCCCACCAGAAGTCGTGGATGCTCCATCACTGGGTTGCCCAGTCATTTGTCTGAAATGCTACATAGGTTCTCCTGCTTGAGCAGGGGACTGGACTAGCAGACCTCCAAGGCCCCTTCCAGCTCTATTCTGATTGATTGGTCTCCAGATAACTTCAGGGAAGGGAATTGAGCCATGATCACAGAGAAACCACCCCTTCCATAGCCCCCAAAGTGCTTTTTCAAGAGGCAACTGGACTTCCTGGTGGTTGTTTTTCTTCGAAGACCTTTCGCTTCTCATCCAAGAAGCTTCTTCAGCTCTTCATAGAATGATTCAGCCGCTTTCTACATCCTTAAATTCATCTTCCTCTCTTAACTTGCAATTGTTGGCGAAACTTCCTTCTCAGTCTTCTTTTCACACAATGGTTTCCTTCACTGAGTGACACTTTTTCCAGAACCTCTCTTCATCCCCCACCAGACCCTAAGATGTTAATGACTGCAAGTGCATCCACCTGGATGGGAATCCCAGCCACTTTCCTAAGCTCTCAGGTAGTTCCTGGAGAAGCTCTTCTGACAGTGGTCAGGTGTTGATGGCCTACACAGGAGCAGCTTTGAAAAGCGGCCATAGGTTGTAGAGAAGATGCTTGGGTGCTTTCTTGGAACAGAATCAAACATTACAGCAATGTTTTCTCAATCTTGGGAAGTGGAAGATGGGTGGACTTCAACTCCCAGAGTTCTGTGGTCATCTTCAAGTGGTCCAGCTTGAGAAATACAGTATGTTAAGGGATGCTGACGCTTTGTGAGTTTTCAAAGTTTCGAGAATTTGCCATTGGTCTTCCCAGGCGTGAGCCAAACATCTAAAGCAGTGTTTTTCAAACTTGGCAATTTGAAGATGGCTGGCTGGCTAGCTGGGGAATTCTGGGAGTTGAAATCCACCCGTCTTAAACGTTGTCAAGGTTGCAAACGCTGGTCTAAAGTCGCCCCGTGTTGCTTGTTCCCTCCTCCCAACCGGTGGAAGTTAAGAGTTCTACAGGAAAATTGGCCTTACTCTCTTTTTCTCCCTTTCTCTGTTTCCTTTCAGGTGGAAAGAATAAAAGAGCGGGTGGAAGAAAAGGAAGGCATCCCGCCTCAACAGCAGCGACTCATCTACAGCGGAAAGCAAATGTGAGTTTCAAGGTGGAGAGTTCATCGTGCCAGCATAGTTTTTAATCCTGATTTTTTTAGGGGAGGGACATGAAAAAATGTGAAAAAAGCCCATCAAACGAAACCAAGCCGAGAATGCTTTGAAAAGCAAGGGAATCGCAGTTCGCAACCTTCCCTGCAAAGGAGCAGAGGCATTGGGGAAGCCGGTGGGAAGTCGGATGTCATGATCACATGAGGTCCTCACTTAACGCCCCATATGGTCCTTGTTTAACAAGGGCAACTGGGACCTATTGGGATTGCTGTCTCTCTTACCATGCAGCCAGGTGAACATCCCGCTTTATGACTGCATTGCTTGATGACAAAAATTCTGGTGCCAATGCCAGTCATTAAGTGAAGGCTATCTGTAATTTGAGCCTGCTGAGGCTGGAGTGACAAGTCTGGATTGATTCGTTTCATGAAACCATTGGCTTGTTTTATTAGCCATCCAAGAAAACCTATCCATTCCTCCTTTATATATTATATAGTTTCCTCTAATCCACTGCAATTTAACAAAACCCAGAAACGAAAATTGAAATAACGATAGAGGAATCTTTTTCTTGGGTGGCCCTAAACGTGCTCTGGGAATTCACATTTTTCTGTGAAGGTTCTTTGATAAGATCAATGCATGCACACTCCTCAATTTACAACAGTTTGTTTAATGGCTTACGGCCATTTGTCAAACGTATGACCACTTTTAACACAACGTTGCAGCATCTCCAAGATCACATGATCAAAATTCAAACACTTGGCAACTGACTCATATTTATAACGATCACAGCGTCCCGGGAGTCAGGTGATCGCCTTTTGCGACCTTCCAACAGAGTCCAGGGGCAAGCCAAGATTCATTTAACAACCGTGTTCCCAACTTAACAACTGCAGTGATTCACTTAGCCAACCGCGGCAAGAAAATGGGGGCAAAATTTCACTTCACAAATGTCTCGTTTAGTAGCATAAATTTGGGGCCCCAATTGTGGCTGTAAGTCGAGGACCACCTGTAATACAGGGACCCAAAATAGGAACCTCCACCTACCTGCCATTTAAAAGACAGACAGAAGTCAAGGAAACAAAACAACCAGCAACCCAGAAGACATTTTTCCCTCGCACCCAACACCCAGATATGGAGTTAAGCGGGGCCAGATAAACAATTAGAAAAGACACAATTTTGTTATCAAGTTAAGAAACCTCACCCCAATCACAGCTGGTTCCCGTCAGGGTTCCAACATGCCCTAATTAATTCATGAGCCTCGAGCTAAGTTTCAAGAAAACGCAGGCGGCTCTGCCTCACATAATTTACTGCCTGCCTGTGACCCTGTTTCCCCCCCCCCTCCTCCCAGGGTGTGTCCTAAATCACATTCTCCAATGGAGCACTTTAGCTTGGTAATGAAACATCTGGAGGAAAACCCAAGGCTCAGCTAACCCCAAGGACAACCACCCCAACTTCAGCTCTAATTCTCAAAACAATCCAAAACTCGCTCCGAAGATATACACGCTGAGCACAATCGACCCTCAACGTTTACGCGGTTAAGCGAGGCATTGATTTAAGGGATTTTGTCTCCATCCTACCACTTTTCTCGCCGTGTTCATGAAGTGAATCGCTGCAGTTCCCCCGTTGACTTTGCTCGTCCGAAGGTCGCAAAAGCGGATCACGTGACCCCTGGGACACTGCAGCCGTCATAACTATGATTCAGTTGCCAAACGTCTGAATTTTGATCGCGCGCATGTGGGAATGTTGCAACGGTTTTAAGTGTGAAACGTGGTCATAAGCCTCTTTTTTCAGTGCCACTGTAACTTTCAACAGTCATTAAGGGAAATGATGTAGACTTCCTGTAAATGAAATCTTTCTTTAATACCCTTATTTCTTTGAGTGGAAAATCTAAATTCGCTTACATATTGATGCTATCAACTATATCTTCTCAAGTTAATCAATCATCATCTTTTAACCAACCTAGAATGCCTTGCAGGGTGGAATCTGGGCAACTGAATGGAGCTGGAAGAATATGTTTTAATGGCCGGATGCCCTTCCTATTACCAGTGGGGAGTTTTTGTTCAGCAAATATATTCTCAGTGTGCCCAGAGAGAGAAATATCTGCCTCTACCTAGGCTCGAACCAGATTTCTAATACACCCCGGGAATGATATAACAGTCCAGATCCCAAAAATAGGGGTTCACCCCCTGCTTTTCTCTCTCCCCTGCCCCCACAGGAACGATGAGAAAACGGCCGCCGACTACAAGATCCAGGGTGGCTCCGTCCTCCACTTGGTCCTAGCCTTGCGTGGAGGCCTGCGATGATGGTGCCCCTGGCCCTGCTGCACTACCCTCCTTTACTCAAAGCCCCCGGATGTGAGTTAGCCTCACACACCCCCTCGAGTTGTCATGGGAGGCCCGTTGGGTTCAAATCCCAGAAGGGCTGCCTGGCATCGCTGCCTCCCCACATGTCTCTTTATCTGCAAACTGTCATTCTACAGGTTGGGGGGAGGAATATTTTGGGGGGACGGGGTGCTTTTTTTGAGTTATGGGGGTGCAGCCTCCCTCTGGCCACACGTGGATAAGGAGGCATCTGCTGTTTCTCGCCACCCGGGTTCCAGCGGCCCTTTCCCCATCATCCCCGTCATGTCGTGGCTAATAAATGTTCAATAAACATGTCACAATCGTCACGGTTTCTTTGTGTCTCCTGGGGCCTGCAGGGTTTCCGGGTTGTATTTGTGTGTGTGTCTTGAGTCGCCTTTGCTAAGTCCTCGATGTACGACCGTAATCCTCAATTTACGACCGGTCACTTAGGAACAGTTCAAAGCTAAGACGGAGCCCGCAAAAAGGTATTGGAGACCAACTTTCAACTTACAAACACACACACGTCCTCTTGCATCGCCATTTGCGTGCTCGACAACCAGACTGCCTCGGCCGCCATTTTCTGCGTCTCGTGGTCGTGTGAGGATATTTTGCGTCATCTTACATCTGGCTTCCGACAAACGTCCATTGCAGGCAATCGGT